TTTCAGCATCAAAAATATTTTAATGTACAATCAGACAAAAGTCTAAAATGTATACATTAATGAGATGACCTACAGTAAAAGCCAAAACAAGCAAACAATTCAAAACTACTAACAATGACAAAAAAAAGTGCATTGGGGCTCAACAAGGATTGTTTCTGTCGGCCCTTGACTGGATTTTTACTTACCATACCAATATTTTCACTTGCCCACCACAAAAAAAAAGAGATACTTATTAATAGTAATATATGTGTCAAAAAACGTTTTTATTAATTATTAAACAGAAAATAATAGCAAAAGGCCTACTGTAACAGCTGGAAATTACAGAGCTGAAAATTAACTTTATTTTGGAAAATGATGGCATACCGTGATTTGTTTCTGACTTTCACACTCATCACTTATATATATATATATATCTTGTCATGGTCAGTAGAACAAACTCAGGTGCTTTTACACTCTGACAGTGGTTTTTCACCAGAGGTCGTTGGATTTCCCAATGTGCTGCATCACATCAGCACTGCTTTGTTGCATTGCCAACATCTGCTGTAGATGTATATTTGAAAATCACCTGAAGCTGGAAATTACAGAGCTGAAAATTAACTTTATTTTGGAAAATGATGGCATACCGTGATTTGTTTCTGACTTTCACACTCATCACTTATATATATATATATATCTTGTCATGGTCAGTAGAACAAACTCAGGTGCTTTTACACTCTGACAGTGGTTTTTCACCAGAGGTCGCTGGATTTCCCAATGTGCTGCATCACATCAGCACTGCTTTGTTGCATTGCCAACATCTGCTGTAGATGTATATTGGAAAATCACCTGAAAATAGCTGTCAGTGTGAAAACCCCTTTACACAGAGGACATACTGCAGCTTTTATCACTTGTAGCTTTATCGCATCCCTCCTGGTTAGTGGACAATGTTATACAGGTGCAGCAAATCATGACTGGGAGAACACATCTGCCCTGCTTTTTGTTTGTCAAGATTGATGTCCCTACTTTTTGGCAAATAATTATTACATTTAAGTGTTTTGCTTGGTTGTTTAAAGAAAATGTATGATCCCTAAATATTATATTGCTTCCACCAGTGAAAAAGTCGTCTCTTGTGTTCAGTTAAAACGTCTGATGGATTGGTTTCTTACAAACATTGATTAAATGTTAACTGATGGACTGGAGTGCTGTGGATTGCTTGTGGATTATTGTGATGTTTTTATCAGCTGTTTGGACTCTCATTCTGACGGCACCCATTCACTGCAGAGCATCCATTGCTGAGACACTGATGCAATGCTACATTTCTCCAAATCTGATGAAGAACAAACTCATCATTTTCAGTAAACTTTCATGTTTGGGTGAACCATTCCTTTAAATGCATTGGATTGTGGTTCCATGTTGGCAGCTACAATACAACCATGTGTTTATGTAAAACTTGTGTACATATTTCAGCAGTATAGCATTGTTTAGAAATAAGCAGCCCAAATTCTCCCACTGCATCAACAAATCTAAGCTCGTCGTTTGAGGACTGGATCCTCGCAGTCTATTTCCCCTCTTGAGGGAATTAAATTTAGATTCTGTCTGAAGGTGCATCATGATGTGGCACTGTCCATAAAACATGCTTCTCCATAATTCTTTGCTCGTATGCCATGTTTAATGTGTACATCGAGCAGCGTGTCTGGTATTCTCCCAGAACCAGGACTCCAGAATGAATGGATGTATTGTGAAAGAGCCAAACATTCCAGGAAATGAGTGCCCCCCCCACCCCCAGTCTCCTTCCAAAGCCTGGACGCTTATTTTCTACAGGAGCTTTTTTAAGGCCCAACCACCCATATGGATGCCTGCACCAACTATGAGACCGAAACCATTTGATGCAGGCTAAAGCTTGTGCTCCGTAAGGCCTTAATACATCACTTGTCATTGTTAGTGAGTCCAGCCATCTGTTAGAGGAGCAGTCAGATGTTCATAAAAGACATGATGACAATATGTTTTATTTGAGCTTCAAAAACGCTCCTCGGAAATCTACGGGTGACGTCACGGACACTACGTCCATGTTTTTATACAGTCTATGGTTTTATTGGTAGGCGGAGGTATAAACTTGTGGTGCCTGAGATACAAAGAAGACGACTTTTATAAACCATTTTTACAAACCTGTTTTATAAGCCCTTTATAGCCTACTAGCTACTGAGTATTTCTTTTAGTTTTTTTTTTTGTTGATAAAATAACCATATGTTATCAATAAAATAGTGCAAAAAATATTCTTTCAAAACCTTTACTCAAATTACACTTTGATAAACCTATAATAATAATAATTTGTATTTCACAGCTGTCGGAACGGTTTTCGCGGGAAATTGCACACGTCATGCGCCTGTGCATAACATCACAGAGAAAAGACACTCTGGCAGTGAGTTTTTTAATTTGAGATAAATTGGCCATGGATCATTCAAAACGGCAAACCTCAGATGAATCACCAGTTGTAAACAAAACAAAGAAAGCGTAATTTTTCGTCCATCTGCTCTGATAAGATGTACAGTATCCTGAACCACATCATCCGTGCTGGGAAGAGCCGAAGCACAACCAACACAATGTTCCTCCACAAGAACCATGCAGTTTAGTTTTTAACCGCTAGAGGGCCAAAAGTTACAAGCCCTGCGTCTCAATGTTCATACTATCCATCCTAATAAATAGTATGTGAGATTAGAATAAGTGTGTCCCAAAGCATAGTATGTTGAAAAGAGTATGCCAAAAGTCCCCGGATGGTCTACTATTTCAGGTCGATTTTTGAAGTGTGGATCCGTGCACACTCTAATGGCTAATATTGCCCACAATCCATTGCGCTTTGGTGAAGGATTCTGTCCAGAACTACAAACACGAATAAAACGCGTTAAAAACTACAAACATGGCGGATGTGCGCGACCGGCGGTTAGGTAGAGAGGCTTAGAAAGGGGTTTGAGTTACTAATATTCAACATTTAACCTGGTAAAAAAAATAAATAATAATGTTATCCGTGTTATATTTCATCTGCAACAGCAATGTAAACTTTTATAAACATCCGTTTGGTCGTTAACTGTTAAATGCATCATTACGCATACAATATGAGCAGAGTTCTCCGCATGAAAGACCCGCAGGCAGATCAATGTGCTACTTCTTTTCTCTCCAATACGGTAGGAAGTTAAATGAAATGCAATGTGGAGGATGTTAACTGTGACAAGATGATTGACAGGCCAGTTTACATTGACAGGGTGCATGTATCTATGCGACAGAGCGTCTGTTAAAGACGCAGTTGTGTGACGTGATAGTATGTCCCAAAGCTTGCCTACTCTTCTACTACACACTCAAAAGTGTGTAGGCTACTTTTTCTTCACCAAAAGAGTACATACTTTAAGGGCGTAATATAAGCAGGCACATTGAAACGCAGCAATAGTGTATTCTTTAACCCTGCAAAGACTGACATGAAATAATAGTCCGAAAATTTTATTTATTTATTATTTATTTATGTATGTTTGTTTGTTTGTTTGTTTTTAAATGGAACAATTTATTAAAAATTCCCCTAAGGCCTATCTTATAATTTTCCCCTTGTGAAAATTACATTTTCATGTTCTCAGGTTGTAGTAGACTCACAGAGCTGTGCTTCACTTAATGCAGGAGTCATTTCCTGAAAAAAATCACTAAAATTCGAAATGAATTCTATAATTTACATTTATATCTGCAGCCAACAGATCACATCAGCGCATGCTCGCGATCGGCAGAGCGAAAGCATTTTCACACAAGACTGCCATTTAAATATCTGACTATAATTCTCATGCATAGAATTCTTCAGCGGTCTTGTGTTGACGAATGCCGCCGTCAAAACTCCTCAGTTCTGCACGAATCATGGAAATTACATATTTTAGACTGAAAGCTGCATTGATAATATTTTACCTACAATAATGATGGAATTTTATCATCACAATAGTAATTCAAAATTACGTTGAAATATAAAGGTATAGCCGTTATAAGCTATATATTACCGAATGTGCCAAACAGAGTTTCTTTACCTTTAGATTGTTACATCATATAGGCTACGCATTCACTCATCATCGTTGGTTGCTAAATAGAGAGAATAATCTTTTTTTTTTTTTCTTTTTCATTAATGCCACGGTAGCCTACCTTCTGTGGAATTGTCAAGGTTACTTCAATAATAGGTCTTTGAATATCATGAATATTATGTTTTAGCTTATGTTTTGCTATCTGCGCATTTGTGTCACTGAGGAAAACGCAAATGCACTGCACAAAACCCAAAGCAGCAGCAGCTTCAGACACACGCTCAGCACTGGAATCCCAACACGTAGTTATCCTTATATGGGCATTTTCCTGTTTGGCAGTGTTGCGTCACTGCGTGACGCGCGAGCAGGTGCAGATGCTGAGACTGGAGGGGTCAGGAGACGGCACATTGAACATCTATTTAATTATTTGCAACCGCAACACGGACTAACAAAATATATAATCACTCATAAAATTATTTATATTAAAGCAGTATAGAGTTGGTCCAATATCCTTTTTGTCTTTCGTTCACTGCCTCATTTTCACATAGGCTACTGTAGCAGAATTATAGCCTACAGCATGACAACAGAAGACATTATCAGATTATCAACGTATAGTGTGGAATATTTCAGTTTGCATGAAATGATCACCGTCATATGCATAAATCATATTCATAAGGACGTTATGCATGTCTTCATGCATATCAGGGTCCATCAGAATTTTATGAATGAATATGTGGCACGGGCCACATTTCGTCCTCACAGGGGTTATCGATTCACTGCGCGCAGCTTTGCCACAGTGACTTCTGTTTCAGTCGACATTTCAGTTCAATACGGATTAAGCAATAACATGCGCGGATGTGCTCAGAAAGCTCAGTTGTCTATGCGTGCTCTGTAGAGGCGCCCCCCGCGTGCGGAATGGTACGGTCCGGTTCATTCATAAAATCCAGGCGGACTATAAATAGCCGCTCGCGCAGCTGAGTGTCACTGACCAGGTTTATAAACCTGGAGAGAGCGACTCCAACATCACGAAGCGAGGCATCTGGATCGTAAGAGCTGGAATCTAGTCAACAGTTTGTCCGTGCGCGCTGGAGAAATGTTTCTGAGCAAAGCGAAGAAGACTTATCCGGACTCCTCGTGCTCTTTGCCTGGGGACCCCGGCTCCAGCAAACCCACCGATGCCCCGATGGACAGCAGCGCACAGGTAGAGAAGACTTATAGATGCTTCCACTTTCAATGCATTCGGTGCACGTGGATTAACTGCTGATATATAATGCAAATGTTTGTTTTTGGAGGCCATTGCGTTTATTCGAATATGTAGGCTATATTATTCTGAAAAATACAACAGATAGCCTATTAGGCCATTATCCTTAAATAGTCATAGATTTTGAATAGCACGCTATTCTGTTTATCTGATGTTGAATGTGATGTTTTGTCGCGCATCCTTTGCAATGCAGCGAAACATGGTGTAGCCTAAATGCAGCTGTTCATTGAGAAAAATAAATCCATTGAGGAGAGCCCACAGCAGCCCTGCGTAAGCATTGACGTCAGAGACAATGCAAAAGTTAAATATTGATCAGGAGGCTATTTTTAGACGCTCGAGCGTATTTAAAGAAAGAGTCTTAAACTCGAAAGATATTAAAAAGGGACGTTTGAAAACCTGGTTATGCAGATGCACATAAATCAGTGTTGTGTTTCTGTCGCTAGAATGATCACATTTCCATCGCAATTGCAGGGCTCGTTCGTTCCGACGGTCACCGCGATCTCCAGCACGCCAGACCTGCAGTGGATGGTCCAGCCGACCATCATCACGTCTGAGTCTCCGTCTCTGTGTAGAGCCGAAAGCAGTGAACCGGCAAAGAGCAAAGCAGCTGGGAACAAGGGGAAATGCGCTGCCAGAAAGAGCAAGAGCGAGCAGGTACCGTTCTGCGTTTGCTGCGTGTTTGGCGCGCGCGATAATCTGTGAAGCGTGTGCGTGGGATTGATGGGGACGCAGCTCTTGCTTTGGCATGCTGCCTAGACCAGCAGCATCCACTTTATATTCAGGTCACAGCAAGTCTGCAACAATAGACTATTTTTAGACGCATTGCAGAGAAAGACGCGTTTGGGGTGAATTGGCGATAGAAGGCAAGCGTTTTTGCAGGGGATGCATGGATTCTTCGAGATGGTAATGAGTGCAATTCATCTTGGCTTTGACTAGCTCTCTCCGGAGGAAGAGGAGAAGAAGAGGATCAGGAGAGAGAGGAATAAAATGGCTGCAGCGAAGTGTCGCAACAGACGGAGAGAACTCACCGACACCCTCCAGGCAGTGAGTACAGACATCATTCACAACATAAGGATTTCATTTCGAAATCTCCAGTTCATCCAGAACATTCTATTTAAAAAAAAAGTTATCCATACCATGCTATTTTGCGCCATTGTCCAAGGCTTCTTCCGAAGTCGTGTGACAGCATTGTGTGAGAACAGACTCAAATGTTAAAGGTGAAGTGTGTCATTCCAGCGTCAGAAAACAGAAATTCAAATAATGATGGGTTCAAACATTCGCCCCAACCTCTTGATTTACTGTTGCAAACAGAGCAATCACCTACCAGTGGCTTATAGTTGGGTCTAAATATTGAGATGAGATAGGAAAAGAAAAGTATTTTTCCATTCATTGATGTCAATGGACCATATTTAACTGTAGAGTCACAGTGGAGACTGGAGAGCAAACCAGTGGTCTGTTCTTCACACACAATGTAGCCGCTTCCAAAAGAAGGTTTTTGCACAGATGCCGCAGAAGAACCTTTCAGTGAACAGTTCCTAAAAGAACCATTTTTTAGTGTGAGCGGAGCATTTAATAATCTAATAAGATAATAACAAGAATAAGATCCTTTCTGCTTTTACAGAACATTTTGTGGAATGCTTTGTAAAGCTTCATGGATGTTAAAGGTTCTCATGACAATAAAGAACCTGTGTAAGGAGAAGAAAAAAAAAAGTTTGAAAAATGGATAACATCCTGACAGAAATGTATCGGTGCCTTTTCTGTTAAGTTTATGGACTTCAACCCTAAAACACACAATGCAATGCGTAATTCAAAATATGGGGAAAACACCTGAAAATATATATATAAATGGATAAAATTCCTTCATATTGGTACATTGGGCCCCATTTTTTGGATTTTCTTAAAGTGCAAATGTTTTGTTATTTTGGAGCTTGACATTTACCATTGTTTTGAACATTTTTAACAGTGAAATCCAGTAATTTCAATAGGAATCCACATGACTGAGAATGCAGATCTCGCATCAGGTTCAAACTGATCGTCAGTAGAAAGCCTGAGAGAGCGGCGCTTCATGCATTGCCACACTATTGGCAATAGACAATGGAGCTTTTTGCCGCAAAATTGTGCTAAAATTGCACTAATGTAAATGCACTAATGCATACATGAGCCAAAAAGGTTTAGAACGACATGAATGATGTTTTTCCTTTAGATCTGTGGAGTAATTCCTCTTGATCTGCCTATGGTATAATCCTACACTGTAAAAAAAAAAATTCTGTAAAATTTACAGTAAAAAAACTGTCTAAATGTTTTTGTTTACATAATATATTTGTGTGTACTGTGTATGTATATATAAATTCACACACATGCATTTCAGAAAAAATATGTTATGTTTATATATTACATATATTTATATATAATATAAATTATATGAACATAAATAAATACATGTAAATATTTTGAAAATATATACTGTATGTGTGTATTTATATATACATAATAAATATACACAGTACACACACATATATGTAAACAAAAACTTTTATTTTGCATGCGATTAATCACGATTAATCGTTTGACAGCACTATAATATATATATATATATATATATATATACACATATATGCATACATACAAACATATGTATACATATTTTCATATAGAAGGTGCACAGTGTCATTCACACAAACACTAAACACCATCATGGTGACACACATGAAACTGTAATATACATTTAGTCATTTAGCAGACGCTTTTATCCAAAGCAACTTATATGACTTATAAATATGCAATAAACATTAATTTAACAACATTAGATGAAACATAGAACCCTAATAAACATAATTAAGAAACTACAAAAACTAAGAAGAGACATCCAATTTGAAATGCAACGCAGGGAATTCTGGGAACATCAATTTATGTTTTTTTTTACTGTAAATTATAAAATGACATGTTCTTTTTTAACAGTATACAGTACTTTAATGTAAAACTACTTTAAATAGTCCTGTTAGATTTATTGCAGTTTTTTTACTGTAAGGAAACTTACCGCTAACCAATAAACAAACAAGGTTTTTAAAGTAGCATTTTTAATCATACGGACGGTAATAGTTTCTCATTTACAGGGGTTAGATGATGATTTTATTGCCATCCGAATCCAGAATGTCTGTGTTTTTCTCCCACCATCCGCGTAAAAATCCCCGGCCGAATTACCTACTATTTTTTGACAAACACCATTGCCATCCGAATTCACATCTTTAAAGGGTTACTCCACCCCAAAATGCAAATTTTGTCATTAATCACTTACCCCGATGTCGTTCCAAACCTGTAAAAGCTTCGTTCGTCTTCGGAACACAATTTAAAATATTTTGGATGAAAACCGGGAGACTTGTGACTGTCCCGTTGACTGCCAAGTAAATAACACTGTCAAGGCCCATAAAAGTATGAAAGACATCGTCAAAATAGTCCATCTGCCATCAGTGGTTCAATCTGAATTTCATGAGG